ATAGCTAGATCTAACGTAAGGGCCTAGCCTAGTACTCTAAGCAGATTCTTCAGTGAGCTGAAGAATCGCCTTCTTATTTTTTTGGAGGGGGCTGCTTCAAAAAAATTCTACGAAAAGAAGGTATTGGCTTCAAGTTTTTAGTATAACTAATGCAGCCCCCACCACCCCCCCCCCCCCAAACAAACCAAAAAATCTCCTTTTTGTTCCCTTTTTCTGGGAATCAAAGAGATATATACAAAGCAAAGCAATTAAGACATGATATTGCAATGACGTGCCGGTGCATGGAGGGGCAGGGGCAGAGGCGGCCCTCCCGGGGGTGGGGTCAGTGCCCCCCCACTTTTTCAGATACCCCAAAAGTGCCCCTTTTTACATAGGAAAAGTGCCCCTTTAATTTTGTAAGAAGTGCCCCTTTTCCTTTGACAAGTGCCCCTTTTCCTTTGACAAGTGCCCCTATTACATAGGAAAAGTGCCCCTTTAATTTTGTAAGAAGTGCCCCTTTTCCTTTGACAAGTGCCCCTATTACTTAGTAAAAGTGCCCCTTCCCCCATTTCACCTCTGACGAGTGCCCTTTTTTATTTTTGACACGTGCCCCTTTTCCTTCAGCATGTTCCCATTTTCCTTTGCAATAAGTGTCCATTTTCCATTCTCATAAATCTTGAAATAATCTTGAATAAGTGCCCTTTTTAATCTTTTTTTCAAACATGTCCTCATTTTTATTTAATTGTTTTAACTTTGTTTATTTATTTAGGTTTTTTTTTTGCCTTGTAACTTGCATATATGAAATAATACGTACCTATACCTCATCACAAGGAATGGTGTGGCGTGTCATCTGTACTGGTTTCTGCATGTTACAATTTTTTTTTTTTGGGGGGGGGCTGGGGTTAACAGATTTATATCTGATCTTGTGTACCTGTAAATATGTACATACTATAAATAAATAATAAATAAAAAAACAAAATTGCATTACCACAATGTGGCATAAAATTAATACACGATTACACCTGCTTATCATTTGTTATTTTGAGTCAGCTTGACGTCATATTGTTGGAATTTGTATCTTGGAGTCGTAAACAAATAATGTTTATTGCTATTATGTGTGTTTTTCAAACATGTCCTCATTTTTGTTTAATTGTTTTAACTTTATTTATTTAGATTTTGTTTTGCCTTGTAAATTGCATATGAAATAATACGTACCAATACCACAACACAAGGCATGTTACAATTTTATTTTTTTTGGGGGGGGGGGCTGGGGGTTAACAAATTTATATCTGATCTTGTGTACCTGTAAATATGTACATACTATAAATAAATAATGAATACAAAAATAAAATTGCATTTCCACAACGTGGCATAATACATAATGGAGACAATGTTGATGATGTAAGGGATGGAGATGATGAGAGCTAGGGATTGGTGAGGGATGGAGATGATGAGAGGAATGGAGAGGATATTGATAATGAAAGGGATGGAGACAATGTGAGGGATGGAGATGATGAGAGGGATGGAGATGAGGAGAGGGATGGAGACGATGTGAGGGATGGAGAATTGAGATGATGAGAGGGATGGAGACAATTTTGATGATGTAAGGGATGAAGACGATATTGATGATTAGAGGGATGGAGACGTCTCCATCCCTCTCACCATCTTGTCACCATCTCCATCCCTTCCATCATCTTCATCTCTCACACTGTCTCCATCCCTCACAACGTCTCCATCCCTCACACCGTCTCCATCCCTCTCATCATCTCCATCCATCTCATCATCTTCATTCCTCACACCGTCTCAATTCCTCACCAATCCCTCTCATCAACAGCGTCTTCATCCCTTACATCATCAACATTGTCTCCTTCCCTCTCATCACCTCCATCCCTCACCAATCCCTCTCATCATCTCCATCCCTCCCATTGTCTCCATCCCTCTGATGATCTGATCGTCTCCATCCCTCTCATCATCTCCATCCCTCACATTGTCTCTTTCCCTCTCATCATGTCCATCCCTCTCATCATGTCCATCCCTCTCATCAAGTCCATCCCTCACCAATCCCTCTCATCATCTCCATCTCTCACATTGTCTCCATCCCTCTCATCAAGTCCATCCCTCACCAATCCCTCTCATCATCTCCATCTCTCACATTGTCTCCATCCCTCTCATCATCTCCATCCCTCTCATCATCTCCACCCCATGTCATGTAAATTGAAATTTAATTATGAAATTTAATTCTTTGAATGGAATATCATTTTAAATTGATTCAATTTAAGTTTTATTATTTTTGTATGTTCTTTTTGGTTACTAAATAGTAATAAATTATACTGCTTTATCTGTTTTGTTGTTTTTTTTTTTTTTTTTTTTTGGGGGGGGGAGTGGAAATTCGTTTTGACCCCCACCCCCCCCCCCCACACACACACACACTTTTTCGTTGGGAGGAGGGCGAGTCCCCTGCCCCTACTTCTGGCGCCTATGATCGCAAGAATGGCTGGATTTCTGAAAAAGGGGCACCTACAAAGGGACACATCAACAATAATAAAAACCATTTTTAGATATTTGTATAAAGGCCTACGCCTTCGTCAAGATTGTGAATACATTACCACGAATGACATCAATATTTGTTTATTTCTTTACGTGGAACAACATTATTGTTTAAGCAACGTACTTCGCAATTTGGTGTGATGGACTGAATATCGATTTTCGAGCAAGCGAGCTAAAAGTAGAAGGTCCCATTTGAAAAATTACATGACGAATATTAAAGACAATTTAATGAAGACTGAAAAGTTCTTTTATGTAATTATGAGTAACATTATAATTAAAACATCTGAGAAAGAAAAGTAGGCACTTATCAGAAGGGAAAAGGACATGTACAAAATGATAAGGAGGCACTTTAGGGGAACCTAAAAAAGTGGAGGCACAGTGCCCCCCCCCCCCAACCAAGAATGCCGCCTCTGACTGTGGGCAAAAGTGCGAAACTAACCCAGAAAATCTAGAAATAAACCAAATTTCAATTTTATTTCGCGGGTCAACTGCCCCCTTCCCCGTCAGTACGCCAGTGCTTCCAGTAGGCCTATCCTTCCATGAATTCCTACCATTAAAAATTATCAGAAGGGAAAAGGACATGTACAAAGGATAAGGGGGCACTTTAGGGGAACCTGGAAAAGTGGGGGCACAGTGTCCCCCCCCCCCCCAACCAAGAATGCCGCCTCTGACAAAACTAACCCAGAAAATCTAGAAATAAACCACATTCCAATTTTATTTCGCGGGTCAACTGCCCACCCCCCCCCCCCCCCCCCCCCATCAGTACGCCAGTGCTTCCAGTATCCTACCATTAAAAAAATTCTGGGACAGAAAAATGCAGCTGTTATAGACCTCTAGATCAAAAGTATATTATTGTTACAAGGGAAATCAACTTTATTCTTTGTAATGACTGTGTTTTTAAAAGCACGAAAATCATAAAAAATGACAATTTCATTTCAATATATATTATTGTTACAAGGGAAATCAACTTTATTCTTTGTAATGACTGTGTTTATAAAAGCACGAAAATCATGAAAAATGACAATTTCATTTCATTTTAGATCTAGAAATCATGATGGGAAAAAGTGTGGCGAGTTGTCCGAAAAGGCTGTGGCGAGTTGTCCAGGGTATTGTGGCGGGTTGTCCAGGGTATTGTGGCGGGATGTCCAGGGTATGGTGGCGGGTTGTCTTGGGGCGGGTTGTCTTGGGGCGAGTTGTCTTTGTGGCGAGTTGTCTGGACCCTGATTCGTTGTACCGTTCTCGACTATTTATCCTTAAATCTGAATTCAGTTCCGTCCCCCCTTCCCGCGCAAAGCGCGAAAGCTTTGATGTTTCATTAAATAATTAGAGAAAGAAGACGACTCATTGTACCGTTCTCGACTCTTAATCCTTTTTCTTCCTACGTCCTCTTCCTTTTTTTTTGGGGGGGGGGGGGCGACCGCCCCCACTGCCCCCCCCCCCCTCCCTGGCTACGCGCCTGCCCCTCCAAAATAAAAAAAAGAAGGCGATTCTTCAGCTCACTTCTCTTACAGTACTAGGCTAGGCCCTTACGAGAGATCTAGCTATTTATCAAGTCTTTAACTTTTAGGAGTAAAATATGATTATCTGATTATGAAGAAGAAAAATTCCATTCCTTCATTAATCGAATATTCTACTCTGAATGACTAATCTAGTATATGATAATGGTGTATAGATATAGACTAGATCTAGGTCTAGTTTACTCACTAAATCAAATTGGATATTCTACTCGGAATGAATAATGATAATACAGTAGATATAGATCTAGTTTGATTAGTTATACTCACACATCACTCGATCAAATTGGGCAGTACAATCATGCAATGCAGTGCAGCGGCCCGGCACGAGTCAGTGAATTCCCCCGCCGACCCGGCCGGCGGCGCTGTACGGCTAGCTGCACACTGAGCTGAGCTGCTGCGGTAGCACTAGGCAGTAGTCTGCTAATTTACGGCCAGGACGAAAGAATGTGAACAAACATCAACCATCTCGTCTAAAATGTACTATATTCGACTTCTCAATAATGAAATCTGTGTCAGGAATAAAGAATAGACCTTCATACGAGATAAAAATGATATTTTTGCAGTGATTTACCGACAAAAACACTGCTCGAATTTCAGTGGTCCGAGTAGATACAACGCACATTTTATGTACGTACGGCAATGCGGATTGCGAGCTGTGAGTAAATTGTCCGAAATGTCATTTTTTTTTGTCATTTTACCTAAAGATAAGTTATAAATTGTCTTCATTGGTATCATTTAACACAATTCCATTAAAGATTTTGGTTGGAAAGGGCATTATTAAGTCACAAAGAGCACAAACATATACACATTGGTATCTCTCGATCGATTAATCAGGTCGGGACATCTCGGCCCAGTTTTTCCAGCTGGGCCGAGTAGTCCCGTGGGCCGAGTTAGCCCGACTCCCCTAGCTCCAAATATATGTATGGGGCTGAGCAGTAAAATTTCACAGATCTTTACCTCTCCGTTTCCTATTTCCAGGCACTTCTTTTCGATCTTTAACCTCTTTCTTAGGGGCTTCAGGATTGCCTTTCTTCGTTTCTTTTCCCTTGAATACAATGTCATCATTTGATTGCCGCGGGATGCCACTTTGGAGAATAACACCTTCCCCTTTGCGACCTGTTGACGTTGGATCTTGATCCGTGGAAGTCGCCATTTTGATCTTTGAGGCTGCATCCGGATCCGGTTAATTTGTTGGCGCTCGCGTAGCACGTCCCTCGATATATTCCTCTCATGCTCTCCCCATCTCTCTCTTCCATTTATCCCCCATCACTCACCTCTTCTTTCTCAATCCATATTCAAATTTCATTTACCGAAACTAAATCAACAACTTTGGATTATTTCCAAACACAACTACATAAATATATCACCCGGATTGTCACATAGAAGTTGAAACATAGTGATACATGAAAGCAAAATGATGTAAAGGATATTACAGATTATAATACAAAATAACAACATTATAATGAATACGCAAAAAAATAAAACACAACATAATTAGGAAGAACAACAACATGCAAGGCAACATATGAAAAACAGTAAAAGTAAAAGAATATCAAACATTAATGTAAAGATTAACTTAATATTACAAATACAAAGGGGATAGGATGTATTTAAGGAGTGACTTCGTACAAAATTATAATGCTGCCAAGCCTGCCATGTTGTTCTCTATTCGAATACTTGATCCAAAATGGGGTACTTGGGACGCGCGCCCCTTCTATTTCGTTCGACACCTCGACTTTCTCTTTATAATAGTTATGTTTTAGTCAAATTCAACAGCAGCGACATTGCGGTACCCTCTTCATTGAAGAAATTTGATACCGCGTCTATCCGTTACAAAGGTAATGGATCTCTTTCATCATTTATGATGGATTTTTTTCTCTCTTCAACGAGAGCATCGCAACATAACAAACACAATCCTGAAAACGGCACAATGAGACATTAAACATATATATATATATATATATATATATATATATATATATATATATATATATAAGCAAGTTTAGTGAAACTGCAATTTCTGACAGTGCTCAACTGTAACCTTCCAACTCCTATATCTCTCTCTTTATATATATATATATATATATATAAACAACAACAACAACAGCAAAACTAAATAGTTCTACAACTTAGGAGGGCCAAAGGTTATCCAAAGAGGAAGTATCGATCGAATATTGCTCTTTTAACTGAAGTGTATATAGTTCAAAGGAAATAACGCAAACAAGCAACGGCTGGAAAATTAATGATATTCGTTTCCCTGTTGTCCATTCATATCCAAACCTTCGAATTACGAAACTAAATGACGACTAACTCAAAAGAGGTGTATTTCACTATAACCATAATCACCATAATCTATAGAGGCACAAAGGGAGAAAACTAAAGCCTGAATTGTCAGTGAAACTAGTCAATTACCTGACTATTTGCAACAGCGATAGTGGTGCATAATACCGAGGCTGGCAATAAATACAAGGTCGGCTCGACTACAATAGACATAAAAGAGCTCAGTTTCTGTTGTGTGAACCTGTAAAAGGAGTATTCATATCAAGGCAGTATACGAATACACGCCTGACTGGTATTCTGGCGAGGGTGGCACAGATTGACAAGAATAATAGAATAATTTTGATAGCTGGTAACATAAACAACCGCTGTATTGACAAGAAAAAGTCACAGTTCTATGAGTGCTCATCTGAATACATTCGACAGGCATATACAGCCATGGTTATGGTCTGAACAGTGAACAATCTACAAGCATCGCGTTCTTCTTTTTTCCTCCGTTGCTGAGGCAGTTTTGGGGATCTAACTTCAATCTTCATCCTCTCTCTCGTTGGACTGGTATATTTTAGCTCAACAAAAGAAGGGACCCATTCTTTGATTCATGGACGTGTGAGAGTATAGGCTTAGCTGATGATGACAGGATTCCAGACGGTAAGAAACAGAATTCAAACGAATATAGCAACATTATAGAACTACATCAAGCCCATCATTGCCCTTGGTATTGTGAAGCAGAAAAAACCCTACTACGGGGCCTACTGGTGGCGTATCCGGGTATTTCCCTCAGCAAAGCATCTCGGCTTACTGTGATAGTTCAGTGAATGACCCATCTTTTTGAGAGCCTTAATTAATTGATGTCACAGAGGGTTGGGGGTATATCGGAAAGGAAAAGCAAGTCTTAAGAATGTTCGTGCATTTCTATGTATATTGACTTCGATTCACTAACCTACTAATTACAGCTAGTAACGTGAGAGTGGTGGCATTTTTATTATTCGGAAATCTGTCAGTAGCCCCCCCCCCCCCCCCCCCCCCCCACATTGCTCTTCATTAAAATTTGCCATTGCCTAGTACTATAAAGTCAAAATAGTGAACCGTGTTTTATTTCGGTATGATTCATTGTTTCATTCATGCACGTCTGAAAATCTGTTTTCTACGTCATAAGGGTGGTTATTAGTGGTGAAACATAATGGATCAATTCAATGAGGGGGGGGGGGGGGCATTTTCATTATGGGTGGGGGCGCTAGTCCTACTCGATGGACGAGATTTGAATCTAGAAGGGCAGATGGTTTGAGAGGGGGTCCTGTATTTTGTTCACCTGTCCCTCTCTTAATCTCACCTTTTCCTCTTTAAAAAATATTTCTGCCGTTCGATCGGAGGGAAAGGGCGTCACTTCCCCTGTACCCCAGAAGAGCTTTAACTATAATGTTAAAAGATTGGAGTTAATACCCTTCTTGCTTAATGTGACTCCTAACAGACGATTTATGTTCCTGCGACATTAATCTGGTCCAGAATTCGGTCAAAGTTGGATGGGTTTGGGAATAAGTGTATCTTGGACTGAAGTTAAATAAGCATTCGTAGGAACCAGAACGTCTGCCATACAGTCATGATTTTTTAACGTAAATGAGTAGGTGATACAGAACCACAGAAGGACTATGGATCCCACGTACTAGTGCTTATAAACCTACCGGTAAATATTTGTTATTCGAATCGAAGTCGGTGAATTTCTTTTCTATTGCGTAAGTTTGTTGTTGACTATGTATATTAAACTAGACCTTCATGCTACGCGTTCACTTCCCTGTATAGGTAATTTCAAAACATCAATTTTGACATTGCTCAGGACACGAGGCTATTTTATGAAAAGACGTGTAATGTATAATAGGTTGTTGTGGACAAAAATATCACTGGAACTTTAACGTAAGTCTTATCCATAAAACCTTAGCCTTACCAAAAAAAAAATTCTTTAAATGAAAATAATATTCTGGAATGCAGTATTGATTCTGAAACAAAACTGATGCGATATAGAGTTGCAATTATCATATTTGAAAACCTGTTGGTATTGTCGCTCTCCTCTCTTTCTTTATCTCAGTTCTTTCCTTTCTCCCTCTTTCTCTCCCCTTTCCCTCACTTCCTCAATCTCTCTCCTTTCAATATGAGGATCCCTAAATCATGAAACAATTTTCTATTTTTTTTTGTGGTTATGCATCCTGTAGGATGAACGCCCCCACATTTCATTTTGTCACAATAACGATTTTATGTACGCTCTGTATTTCATGTTTTTAGTTTGGTACGTAACGGCATCATTGTACAACACACACACACACATACACACCCACACTCATAACAAAAACATGGGAAACAGAAATGCGTCATGCGATTTTCTTTACGTTTTTTTTTTAAGTGACAAGGACCCAAATCAACTTGATACAAAAGACTATTTTCATAGTGTCTATTCTAAACAATGAACCATTGTTCAAAAAATGAACTATCCATTTCATGCTATACTGTGGTTGATTCTTATTCGAATATTAACCTTGAAGATATTTTTAGATTCCTCTTTTCTCTCTTTTCGTTTTCTTGATGGTGCTGCACCCCTACAGTGTCCTCTCTCAATTCAATTAAATTGAGTGAAATCATTTTGTTCGTCCATAAAAACACCATTACATTTTGACATGTGATATTACAAGCAATTAAAGATTTACAGAAACGACGTTATAATGGAAATAAATGATACGTGACATTGACTAACATAGAGTGAAATTACACAATTAGGAGTATATCCTCAATAAACATCTTAAGAAACTTCACCTATTTCTGGAAACCTTTAGATACTGTAATTGTATACGCAAATAGGCTTACAAAGGTTGAGGCGTCTTTTGAATATCTTTCAATATGACTGAGTACACGTTATTTCTGCCATTTCTGCTTTTGTTCTCGTTATGTTGTAACGCGCAGTTGATTTAAATCGAATTACGATGTAGGATTGTACATTATTGTCAAGTTAATTCACAAGTGATGTTTCTTCGTATGACGGACGGGATTATACTCTATTTCCATCTATACATTGTAAACGTGGTCATTTCCAATCATAATAATATTTTGGGGAAAAATAATATATGAAGCCTTGTCAGTAGAAAGCGCACCGATTTGATTCGAACCCGAAACCCTCCCCTTCAATAGAGTCCACTGTTCTACCACAGAACCATCACTAAAGTGGATCAATAGCTGTTATGACTTTGTATAGTTAATATTCTCTGAACCCGCTATTCATCTGCCATTGAGTTGTTTTAATAGAAATAAAATGAGATTGTTATGGGTCATCATCATTATCATCATTATCGCCAACATCACCCTTGACAACATTTGTGTCGTACATCTTTTAATTTCTCATGCATATATTTTTTTCTGTCTTCCAATCGTTTTCAGATGATGCATTCCAAAAAACTTTGGGGGATGCCTTCCCTCATTGCTTCAATAATACTCATACCCATATGCTACGGACAAAAGATGTATAACAACAGTAAGTATATATTCTAAAAGAATAATGATTATCATAACGCTTAACCTTGACTTGATTTTTATTCCCCGTTTGTGTACTTATTGTGAGACCATTTTGAATTTCGGGAGGTTGGTTGCTGGAGACAGTGGTGTACCGTCTGATGAAGATTTCCCACCTCTGGTTTGTAAACATCTGCCGACGGAGGTACGACAATTTCAAATTAAAAAAGCAGATTGGAAAGGGGGAGTTGCACCTTTACCGACACCCCTGCAAAATATATCAGCGGCCGGAGAGGATTTTGAAGAATTTAATTGTTTTGACAAAGTGAACAGTTACTGTGTACACTATAATATATCAAGCAGGACCATAACACAATGAGGCCTTTAAATTATAATAATAATTGATATCTTCACATGGTTAGAACGTACATAATATACCATAATTCCATCTACTTCCTAAGTCCAAGGTGATACCTCAATTGTCAACTAAGCAAATATATACGTTTCGTTTTCTATTATATTCTAATACTTTGCTTATTATTCCCTTTGGGAATATCCCAACAGGTTCACCGGACAACCCAAAAGGCCCGCTACCATCTTTATATTGTAAGTATATGTCATAATTGACCATCTTTATGAAAAAGAAAGAAAATTAAACCGACCCCATTTCTTGCTAAGTCGATGTCATAATTTTCCTCGACATAGTAAACTTTATGTTTACGGTGATAATGCAAATTGTGATGGTGATGTTGATGACAAAATACTGATGAAGATGGTGATTTTGATGGTGGTAATAGCGTCAGTGATGGGAGTGGAATTGATTTGTTTGTTGTGTACATGTAGTTTTTACGACATCATGGTGCAGAGTGCTGTAAAAAGTACAACACAAGAACAAATCAACAATAAATGTATAAACACCATACCTCAAATAATCCGTGGTATGTAAGTAAGAATATTTCTACTATGCGTGAGGGTTTTCACATACATGATAAGCTATGGTTTTGAAAATAACTATTGTCGCCATATAATACATTTTGTATCTGATGGATGTTACATTCCAATACATTATGTTTTAATATCTTGCTCTATTTTTTTACCCTAGTCTCGGATGCGTTGATCATCGCATTGTCTGTCATTGGTGCCCTCATCTTCATCGTTCTTTTCATCATTCTCTTTAAGATAATGTAAGTAAATAATGCAAGATTAAGGGTAAAGGTGAGGTTTTTTCTATCAACTATCCATCCTTTTCGTGATCTTGTAGAGAAATTTACATCTGAGAAGCAATATCTGGTGGAAAGGATTGCTCTTTTATAGAATGTAGCTGTTATCGGGACACAATATCTCAAACATCTTGAAGGAATATATTTAACTGTGTATCAGGGAAGTCCAAGGTATTGGGAGAATTCAATGTCCCATCTATGCATAACCAAGGAGCTGTGAACATAAATTGACACTTAGTGTGTCAAGACCTTTTTTGTTTGGTCCGAATCAGCGGACGCTAATTATTAAATTCAATCAAATAAAGAAGAATGTTATAATATGTGGTCTGGAACGTATGGGACACAGCAGCTAGAACTTGCCCATTTTGATCACTACCAGTGTAACTTTATGTTACGTTGTTGCAATTTTATTTCCCCTTTTTCTTTTGTGTCTGTAAAAGGTACAAAGTCGAGACGAGTCCCCCGCCATTGCAGCAGCGGCATGGGATCTCCGAGACCAGGAACCTACGACTTGAAAATGTCTCGCATTGAAACGTCAGGACCAACAAATGAACAAATGAGACATTTCTAAATCAATATATTACCCCCATGCCATACCAACGGAATGGGTATAGGACATACAGTGCGGTATATACAGACATTGCAGCGAGTAACTAAGAATCGGGCTGGTTGGAGTTGGTGTGAAGTCGTCGTGAAGTCGTCGTGAAGTCGGCGTGGAGTCGGCGTGGAGTCGGCGTGGAGTCGGCGTGGAGTCGGTGTGAAGTCGGTGTGGAGTCAGTGTGGCGGTATATGACTGAGGGATAGGGTCCCAACAGATACTAGCTTCTTTAACGTTAGTCTGCTGGTATGTTACGTAGCAACAAAACGTCGTCCATCGCTTAGGCTAGATTTTGTGTGGTATTCCAGCTGTGGATCAGGATCACTCTGTTTTCGTAAAGCCTCGCGATCTGATGGACATAATTGCTCTTTGGAAAGTTTTCGGAACCTGTATGAGTCGGCAACCAAATTCCACCATTGCTGGCATACTTGAAAATCTGGAGACCCTTTTTTGTTCTTGCCATCTGTGTTCCAATGGAGGGCTATACATGCAAGTTATATAACAATGTTTTGAATACTGTTTAGGTTTAAGTGATATTTATTATTGGATGTATCCATCAAACTTGGAGAAAGATTACGGCAGTATATTTATGTATATATGTAAATAACATTTGAAATAATCATTTAACATTAGAGAGGGCAAGACTGTTCCAACTTTGTGATTTTCTCTCAAATCCTATTAACATTTGCATTTGGTTTAGAAGGTAATACAATGACATTACTTACGACGTATATGTGTGAGGTTGGTTGAGTAATTTTTGAGATGCTACCAGATAAGATTTTGCTACATTTCTTCTTCTTCTTTTTTTATTGATTGGGGGGGGGGGGGCACCCCTTATATAGGTGGCGAGTAACAAAGAATGAGAGTTTCCTCAAGTGTTTACCAAACAATATGTATCTTTGTTCAATATGGAAGCATTTCATTTGAAAGCAGCTAGCTAGGTTGCTTAGAAAGAAAATAGAGAATTAGAAAAGCAGGTTTGCTTTGAGATTGACCGAAAGCAGATAAATGCCTATGAAAATATAAATTGTTAGAAGCTGAATCACTGTCAGGCAATTTCAAATTAGACCATTTGTAATATTACTGCATAGTGGTGCTCAATAGAAGTATAGTCAACATATGAGTTTATATGCTGCTAGCCAAAGACACGTAGTTGTATAGAGCAGTTATACTTCATTCTAAAGATTATTGATAGGGGCGTCGAAGGTAGGGAGAGGGGGAGGGGGCAGTTGCCCCAAATATTTTCTGAATCCAAATGTATCCTCTGCAACGGTTTAATGATAATATGAACGTACATATTTGTTCATCAGATACTGAAGAAGGATCGACGCCTATATGAATTTGTTAATTTTGTATGACATGATAATTCAGTATGAATTATTGAGAATAATGCGATAACATTGATGAACATAACTTGGCCTATCTCACCTAGATTGCCATTATTATGTGACAAGAAAACCACGAAAAGAGGCCGTGGGTGCCTGGTTGCTTTTTCATGTAAGTTGACAAAAGACTGATGTTTTCATCATTTGACACATAACTTATAAGAAAAAAACAAACGCAAAAACGAAACAAACAGCGGAATATCAAAGCTAACCATTTGTTGTAGTATTTTCTATCATGTATAGTGTAAATAAAAAATGCATTTGCAATAAAATCATGCTAATATGACTTCGTTTGTGGAATTTTGTTTTTGCAACCACATCAAATGTTTACCCTTGTGAATCTCTAAGTAAATATAAACGTCACAACTTATTCAGGTGGTTGATTAATTGTGCAAAAGCATCGGAGCGCCGACCGTCTCCTTTTGTTCTCATGAAGAAAAAAACCCATGTACAATCTGAATGAATCATACACGTTGCGAATTTTCTCACGTTGGAAAAGGCTGGGGCGCTGTTCGTGCAAAATATTCCCACCAACATTTAAAAAAGATTAAGGGGCTTAGAAAATTATAGACATTCTTTCTTAGTGTGTATGTGTGTGTGGGTGTGTGTGGGTGTGTGTAAATATGTGGGGGTGGGGCCAGGTGCGTACACAGGGGGGGGGGGGGGGGTAACCTCCCTCTCAATTTTGTTTATGTGTGTGTTTTGGAGGAAACCCTCCCCCCTCAATTTTTTTTTTTAATTTAAAAAAAAAAAAATTGTGCTAAAGAAAAAAAAATACCCCCCCCCCCCACTGAACGAAATATTGGTTGGCATAATTTTTCAATTTCCAGGACAAAAAAATGTGCTCTCTTTTCCTAGCAAAAAGTTCAAGGAAACAATACCATCTATTGTCATCCCCTATCTATTTTTCCAAACTTATTTTTTTTTCAGGCCGGGGGGGGGGGGGGGGGCAAATCGATTGTGGGCACATTTTTGTCCTTATCTACGCCAATCGTAGTCAAGTGTCACTAGCACCTGGTATCTCAACTTTGCTTTAAGTGACTTCTGTGTAATAACATCAGGGATATAATTCACTAGTGAAAAATACCACTCATGAAACATTGCAATTTAATTTTTTTTAATTTGTGCTGTAATTTGACACTATTGTACAAAGATAGAAATATTCAAATTTTGTTATAATTTCTTTTTTTAGCAGATGTTTTGCATTTTGTTAGACAATCAAAATCAAATGAATAATATTTAAATAACAGTTATTCATGTAGTATAATTGAATAACATAAAATGTGACAACTGAAATACACTGCAAGAAAAAATCAGATATAATTGAAAACGTTATATTTGTTTTAGGCGCATGTAGGAGAATAAAGTCAAACCTGTCAATATCAGCTAAAGGCCATCTGCCGTTATATAGAGGTCGGGATTTTTTCTCCGTCAATAAAGAAATTCGTGTTGAAGAACCTGTCTAGTAAGGCCGCCTTCAGTGGCAGTGACCATTCTTTCTATTTGTTTGGTTGACTTTAGACAGGTTTGACTGCATTATGCGATTCGCACTTTTGTAATCCTTAAAAAATTCTACATAATTATTTCACCACTGCATTGAACTTTCTTGATTACATTTTCTCCAGGTTATATACATTAACAACTCAATTATTAATATCCGTAACAAATTGTGTAATGTTTAAAATATGGGAACATTTGACTTTTCCAGATTTACGTGTTTTGGGCATATTACATATTAAGCCTTAAATCTAAAAGTATTCAACAAAGACCGTAACTCTACCAATCAACATTTCATTCTTTGGTTACGAAAAACACACACAAGATATTAAATAGCAGTTATAAGAGGGGCGCTAGGGGCACTTGGAGGTGCAAGCACCCTTCCCCAATTTATTCAATTTAATTACAGTGAGGCATATGTATGAGATGAATGCAAGAACCTCAACCCCCCCCCCAAAAAAAAAAAAAAAAAAAAAAAAAAATTCCTACACCTGCTTGTAGGAATATTCTCTTGACTATACAATTGACATTTTCCTTTAAGTTTGATTGAAAACAATGATTTCGTAATTAATTGACAGCATTACATTTGCTCTTTTCTCTTTACAATGAGCCCCATTGTCATACGAATATGGAGATCAACCTTTAAACACGACTGATTGTTTAATACTTACAATATTCTATATTCTTCCTTTCACAATTGCATTCAAAATATGATTATTGATAAAAATTAATTTCCATTGTAAAGCATGTTCGGAATTCATATATTAAATAACATTAAAGCCTGTTTGAAACACAATACAATACAAAGCAAAAACAAACCTCTGTACACGTCATACAAAACAAATTTAATACAAACGGTAGAAACTAGGCAAACATTGGACACATATCAACAGATTCAGATTAATAGTAACTTATATAGCAATAGTATATTTAATTCACGTTAAAAAGTACAAAGATTATGAGCGTAGTTGTAGGGTACAATAATATTATTATAAAGGTATATTTGTTTGTTTTGTACGTTTGGTTTTACCTGACCGCTAAGAAAGCATGTAAGTGCTTGTAAGTAAACAACCAGGAGACCAACGACTCTTAGTCCTCTTTGCTAATGAGGATTAATGCCTTACAGAAGGGCACTAGCGCATCGACTTCGTTTCGAAGCTTGGACCTCCAGGTTACGAGACCACTGCTCTGCTATTGGGCCATTGCACCAGTGAGAGATCAAGTTTCGGCAAAGAGAGAGAGAGAGTGAAGGTACAGAATAGTGTCTCAGATGCATGTAGCAATATCATATTACTATGTACTAGTCTTCTAAGAATAGATGTAAAAAAATAATATAGAATAGTTTCAAAAACAGTGTGATTATAGCTGTTCTGTTATAAATATCATAAAAAAGGTATATACAAACATATAATATGAAAATCTAGGCCTAAGAATACTCCACAATTTTACACATCATCTTCCTGTTTCTCATCGTATGTCATCGTGTTTCGGTTTAAGGTCGAGAACAAACATAATAACACAATGTATTTTTTTTAAAAATATTAGTAAGTTTACAACCTTGTGGAATATAGATAAGCTACTGTTGACAATGTAATCTGTCCATATCAAGGAAATAATGTAGAATTATATATTATATTGTTGCTTTTACTCTGTTAATTTTTCAGAAATAAAAACAATAAAAACAGAAGAAGAAAACAAAATAATAATGTAGAAAATTGCCCTGGTAGAGGAAGTTGAACATTGATTTCGAAACTGAAATAGTGAAAAATATAAAACAAATTCCTTGTCTCTTCGAGAATGTGATCTATATTAGTAGGTCATTTGATAAAAGTATTTACATTTTTGTATAACATATACCAGTTCTTAAATACGCTCTTTTTTCACTTGTGACTTATTTTTTGCATATATTTACATGATTTTTGTATGACTAGCGCTGCCCCCCAAAAGCCGCCCTATCCCCATCCCTTGTAAATGTTACATAGATGAGCTCATTAAAACGAAATGCACCAAGGATGATACGAAATTCCTAACTGATGAAAACTACATCGCTCGTACACGCATGCAAATAATATAGTATTGGGTAAGGTATGGTATTCATTTTCCAAATCACAATATAAAAACCAATACAACAAAAAATTAGAAAATTATACAAATCGAGAATATAGTCAATGACTAGATAGCCCACTCAGGTCTGTTAATATGACAAAACTGTTTTTCTCCCTTAGGGTTTAGAAAATTAAATGAAATGTGAACTTACAAGAAAGAAAAAAAAGTAATAATGACAAAAAATACTACATATAGTCGTAAAAAAAGGACAACACAAAACAAATCTAGAACTGTAAATAGCCCGCCCCACCCCTCCTAACTATATTGGCAAAACAGGCATATCCCTTTGAATGTTAAAGCAATGATTAGTTCTTGTATTCAAATGTTGGCAAAAAATATTCAAGTTATTTGAAAGTTAAAAGTCTAAAGGTAGGACATCGTACTGACGTGACCCTCGGTATAAAAACATTCATTGGCAACACTCACCCTTATGATTTTTAATAGCAATACATAAAACTTCTGGGCTGTAGGGATTTCTAACTTGATCTAAGATAAAGATCATTATTATAAATGTGATTGAAAATATTAACTTTTGAAATGATATACGGCTGACCCTGTTTTGTATTTTTGTAGATGGTCCGTATATTCCTTATGCCTAGGTCACATTAGCTCTACAGCTAGGATACGGCGGCCGTACGCCCCCGAAATCGAGAGATATTTGCGGCGGCCGCAGAAAATCTGCGGTGGCCTCAGGGTCACCCTAGGGCGCATCCCTATCTGTATAGGCCGTACGGGTCGCCGCGGGATTATAACGCGGATTTATAACTGTTTTCATGTCTAGGTTCGGCGTAGCGATTAGACACATCGTAGCCATGCCGTAGAGCGGTTCAACGGCGACCGTACGTCGGGCGTACGGTAGCCTTGCGTTTTTTTTATTTATATATTCCAGGGGTGAAGCGGTAGCATCAGTCTGGCCGAACAGTCGCCGTATGATCCCCTTCGGCCGCCTTGCGGGCACCTTGCGGCTACCTTGAGGCTACCTTGCGTCTGCTTTTAAATTTGTCAAAAAGCTACGCTGGCACATTCAAGATTGCTACTAAGCCGCCTATACAACTATTCGGCAGGAAACGTCTTTCTTAGCAAACTATTCTTTTTCTTGTTGTGTACACTCCTAATGCAACAATCTTACGATAAGGGATATAATAGCTATTGGGAACTTTTGAAAATTGGGTGGATAGTGATTCTTTACATTTTTTATTTATTTGGATGCCCCTGTATGTATTAGTATTATAAGCACTAGCAAATTTAGCCCCTAAAACACTTCTGCTTTCGAGAAAAATTGAATATACAAATTTACCCTTGCTCCCGGTAAATTTTGATAAATTTCAAATAGGGCCTACGGCCGTACTCTTATAGCTGCGACCATGAACATCTCAGAATATTTAGATGTGATATATAAGTTCTGAACGGGAATAGCTAATCGGTCGATTTTAGTCAAGAAACACTGTTTTATAGCTTAATTAATATCTTGACCTTGAGAGGGAGCTATACAACATAAAGAGTTTATTGTTTACAATTTCATAATTTTAGACCCAAATTCTACGGCGAGAACGATCACTGAATATTGTAGGATCGCATATGCTTCCAATATGGTCATTTGAACCAAATTTATGACCCCATACCAAAACTTTGCATTACCTTTAATGCTTGTGTACCGAATTCTCATGGTTGTCATGATTGTTT